GTGTGTGTGTGTGTGTGTGTACGTATATATATATATATTGTATTATTGTTATTATTTTTATTTTTATTATTGTTTTCTGCTCTTACTGAGGCATCTGGTCTGCACACACACACAGCAGAGTCCTCGCCGGTGGTCATACGCAAGGTCAGTAGCGAGTATGTGATGCTGGATGGCATAGACGATACACCAAGTAACAAACGCCACAGCCTGCCATTCACTGATAGAAACAGTACAGTGCACACCGACAGCGACACAGAAATGGCCGAGGCTTATGCACAGTATATCAATGGGTCATTGAACAGTTATAGTTTCACACACAACACGCACCCCTCAAACACGTGGGACGGCCCTACCACAGGCGACGATGGGTCAACTACCCCCATGCTCTCGAAGAACATCAAATCTGGCAGGAAACCCAACAAACCCAACAACAAACCGGCCAAGCGGACGGGGAATAAAGCAAGCATCTATTTCAGCAACATCACACGCCGCAGGAGAAGGCACGACGACCACGCAAATGGCACTGACACCAACAAGGACACCGGAGATGACACTGACACCCATGACACCGGAGATGACACGAACAATGACACCATCCATAACACGGATGAAGACAGAGCCAACACCTCTGCAAACGACCGCAAGTACGAGCAAGACACTGACACTGACACTGACACTGACACCAAACAGCGCATGCATGACATCTGCCCCACGCTGGTGCGACGACCGGCCACGCACAGCCCACGCACCAGAGCCACGAGCTTCTTCTGTGTACGCACACCCATTCAGGAGAGGTCACTGGACTCAGACACAGACTCACCCCTGGGCTCACACACCTCAGCACGCAGCTGCTGCCAGACAACGGTTGCACGAGCGGTCAGTGAAGGGGGCAAGTAGAAGGCATGCACACGTACACGCACACGAACACGTACACGCACACGAACACGTACACACACTTTGGAATGAAGAGACGTACGCATGCAGATAAAATGAGCACAAGTAGAACGCACACGCACACGTACACGTACACGCGCTGTGGATTGAAGAGGTGGAATGTATGCACACACCATGGTGGCCATACAACGGAACATAGGGCCTGGTGTGCACAAGGCATGGAGCAGGAGATGCAAAAGACTATAATAAACTAGTAGAAGTCTAAAATAAACTACTAGAACGCTATAATAAACTACTAGAACACTATAATAAAAAACTAGAACACTATAATAAACAAATAGAAGACCGTAATAAACTATTTAAAGAATCTAAAATAAACTACTCGAAGGCAATAATGAACTACTAAGACTATTCGCTACTAGAAGTCTATAGTAAACTACTAAAAGACTATGATAAACTACAAGAAGACTATTATAAACTACTAGAAGACTATAATAAACAAATAGAAGACTATAATAAACTACTAGAAGATTATCTATAATAAACTACTAGAAGGCTATAATGAACTACTAGAAGACTA